AATATTACTACCTAATAGCTTTTTCAAGGTTATATACATTTTGTGTGAAACGACAGAAAAACTTTTGATACGTATATATATATATAATATATACACATCTTCAAGGCGGATCACCGATCCTTGCGCGTACATACATACTTCGTCTCAAAATACAGCATAGCGTATTAATTTTTCAATTATTAATTGCAAACTAATATCGAATATACTTTCTGTAATGTCCTATTTCGAATTCTCGCAATTTTACTAAATATGTAAATATATAATGTCGGTAAAATAGATACACACGGTGCATCACGGTACGAATGTAGTATAGTCCTGCCCTCTTCAGCTATTTTCTGAAACTTGAAATTGAATGTTGAATCCCTCTATTGGTACATTAAGAACCCGACCTTTTCGATTATATACCTATAAATGTTACCGACAGTATTTCAATCAGTTTACTGAATGTGCCACCGATGCATCGCGGCGTGCACTACGTGAAAACACTTTAATGTATTTCGTTCAGATAGCTCGAATCAAAGTAATATTAAGCAATATCAAGTCTGGCAAATGTCTTCGTTTAGATAGTGTTGTATGTTCCAGCGAAGGTAGATCTCTAAGTTATTTGCGTCAATTGTAATACTAGATGAACAAAGTATCGCGCCAAAATGAAAACCGCTTTGATGGTAGCCGAAAAACCTTCTTTGGCGACATCCCTGGCCAATATATTGAGCAATGGACGATGTAATACCAGAAAAGGTGCGTTATAACAATTTAAATTACCTCTTCTTTCACTTAAATCACTTCCCTTTTTTAAATGAATTTTCTCAACTGAATATCTCTAGGCTTGAATGGCTCTTGTTCCGTCTACGAATGGGTAGGTCAATTCAGATCTGAGACTGTAAATTTTAAAATGACCTCTGTATGTGGACACGTTATGACATTGGATTTTATTGGAAAATATAACAACTGGGACAAAGTAGATCCAGTAAGATTGTTACAACATTGTTTTTTAGCGTGTATATATTCTATAATAATAACTGGATTTTTTGTTTGCTTCTTTCTCTTCTCAGGCAGAATTATTCTCCTGTTCAACTGAGAAAAAGGAAGCTGTCCCAAAACTAAAGATACCATACTTTTTAGCCAAAGAAGGAGCACACTGCGATTATTTAGTATTATGGCTAGATTGTGATAAAGAAGGTGAAAATATTTGCTTCGAAGTTATAAATGCAGTCCAGCAAGGAATGCACAGGAAGTTGCATATAAATGCAAGTTGCTTATATGTTAAGCTATTGAATCTTTTTCTGTGAACAATTGTTGATTATAATTTAAACATACTTTCAAACAAACTTTCTTTTCGATAGGATATATGGCGAGCACGATTTTCTGCCATTACAGAAAAAGATATAAAAGCTGCTTTGGCTAACCCGATAAAGCCCAATGAAAATGAAGCCAAAAGTGTTGATGCTCGTCAGGAATTAGATTTGCGAATAGGCTGTGCATTTACGAGATATCAAACTAAATTTTTTCAAGTATGTCACAATTCTCTTTGCATTATATTTCAAGTACAAACTTAGAATACAAACGTTATACTTTTAGGGTAAATATGGAGATTTAGATGTTTCTCTTATTTCCTATGGTCCATGCCAAACGCCAACGTTAGGATTCTGTGTACAGAGACACGATGAAATTCAAACCTTCAAGCCGGATCCATATTGGGTGTTGCAGGTGTGTAATTATGTACAGAGAATCTTTATTTCGAAATGTACAAGACATTTTAATTTGAGATCTCATATTTTCTGTTTTGATCAGTATCTATACAACGACGATAAATAATAGTATTTTTTCATCATTTTTGAGGTAACTGTCAAGTCTTCCGATGGTCAAGATATTGTATTAAGTTGGAATCGTATACGTTCTTTCGACAAAGAAGTTGCAACCATGTTTTTAAGCCACGTTAAAGAACACGATCAAGCAACGTGAGTTGTGTGTCTTACATATTTAAGAAATGTAATCTTTGTATGTTGGGGAGACTACATCATTCCAAGTAAATTTGTGTATAGCGTAGTGAGTGTACAAAGCACAGAGAAATCCAAATCGCGACCTATAGCGTTAAATACGGTTGAGTTGATGCGAGTCGCGAGTTCTGGATTGGGAATGGGTCCACAACACGCTATGCAAATTGCAGAAAGGCTTTATACTCAAGGATACATAAGTTATCCTCGAACAGAGACAACGTCGTATCCTGAAAATTTTGATCTGCTGTAAGATTTCTTATTGTTGAATTAATTATTTAATGGTTATTTTCAATTTGCACATGTACGATGCTCACGTTTCGCAATACTTGATATTTACAGTCATTTTACTTTGTTCAAGTTCAACACTGAAGCAACAGCAGAATAGTTCGGAATGGGGCGAGGAAGTTCGCAAGATAATAGCGGCTGGAATCAATAGACCAAAGAAAGGCCACGATGCAGGTGATCATCCGCCTATAACACCCATGAAACATGCAACTAGAAATGAACTCGATGGTGATTCATGGAGATTGTACGATTATATAACGCGACATTTTATCGCTACGGTATATTTACTATTAAGCTATTTTAAGTAAAACTTTAAAGTAATCTTTATACACATTATACGTGGATATATTATATTTTTCTTTTTATTTCAAATCGTAGCTGGCACGTGATTGTAAATATTTGAGTACTACGGTAAAATTTGAGATAGGCATGGAAATATTTACAACTACAGGTCACAGCCTGTTGAGTCCTGGCTACACGAGTATTCTTACTTGGCAAGCACTTGGCAGTAGTGATACGCTGCCGAAATTTACACCTGACGAGAAAGTAAACATACAAGAGGTAAAAAATATTTTTATTATTACGTTCATCTATTTTTATATCAATCTTTTGGTTATGCGTGTCTTTAAAAACTATATATGTTATGTATATATGATGCAATGACGTGCGCATAAAATGTCTTTTGTTGTTGTTGTTGTAGGCTAAATTAGTTGAGTGTTATACACAGCCACCGGATTATTTAACAGAGGCAGAATTAATAACTCTTATGGAAAAACATGGGATCGGAACAGATGCTTCGATTCCTGTACATATAAATAATATCTGCATTAGAAATTATGTTACTGTTGCAGCAGGCAGAAAATTAATACCTACTTCTCTTGGTATCGTTTTAGTCCATGGATATCAGAAGGTATCTTTAGTTTCAATTATACTCTACTCTTGATGACAAATCTTTTCTAAAACGTACACACAACATTATATATATATATATATATATATATATATATTTTTTTTTTTTTTTATTAGATAGATCCAGAATTGGTTTTGCCCACAATGAGATCTGCAGTGGAAGAGCAATTAAATCTAATAGCATTAGGTCGAGCTGATTTTCATGCTGTACTACAACATACTGTAGAAATTTTCAAACAAAAATTTCATTATTTTGTACAAAGTATAGAAGCTATGGATCAGTTGTTTGAAGTATCGTTTTCGCCGCTATCGGCGTCCGGCAAAGCACATTCTAGGTATACAAAGAATCGTAATAACAATTGTTCTTTTATTAACTTTGTATAAGCGCTACATATATATCCATTCTTCTTTCCACCTCTTATATATATATATGTTATAGATGTGGTAAATGTCGTCGATACATGAAATACATACAAACTAAGCCGTCTAGAATGCATTGCGCACATTGTAACGAAACTTACAATTTACCACAAAATGGAAACATACGAATATATAAAGAACTAAAATGTCCATTGGACGACTTTGAATTACTTTCGTGGTCGACCGGAACGCGAGGAAAAAGTTACACATTTTGTCCATACTGTTATAACAATCCACCATTCAGGTATGTCACACAATTGTGATAATTATAGATTGGAAATCTAAAGAAAAGCTGAATCTTCTTTCAAATTTTAGGGATATGAAAAAAGGAATGAGCGGTTGTAATTCATGCACGCATCCAACATGCCCGCACGGTATGAATTCAAATGGCTTGTCCAGCTGTTTGGAATGCGATCTAGGTATACTTGTACTCGATCCTTCGGCCGCACCCAAGTGGAAATTGGGATGTAATCGTTGCGACGTTATTATCCATCTATTTGAGAACGCCCATAAAGTGACAGTTGATACAGATACGTGTGATTGCGGCGCGCAATTAGTAACCGTCGAGTACAAACAGGTGAGGAAAAAAGTTTACTTTGATCATGTCGATCTATGATCTAACAAGCAATCCTTTTATGTGCTCTTTGATTTTAGGACAAAAGTAAACTTCCCGATGAAGTGACCGAAATGTCTGGCTGTGTGTTTTGCACCCCAGCTTTCGCCGCGTTAGTAGAAAAGCATCGTGCGGTAGCTTCAAAACCAGTGGTCACGCGTGGTCGAGGTCACGCCAAGAGTCGTAACCGAGGCAAACCTAAACCGCCAAAGGACAAAATGGCACAACTGGCAGCATATTTCGTATAATGAATCGTTTAGAATCGCATACAATATAAACTCGTGTATCACGTTCTTTTTAAATAAATCCCTATCATCCTTAATCTTTCACAGCATTTTATAGCATATAAAAGTGATAGTGGTATAATGGTAATGACTAATCATTCTTATGTTTTCTATTAAATAATAGAAGAGATGCAATTGTGCCAATTACAATAATTGACCCATGTTTTGTAGAATAATACGTTTTATTAAACAAACTTTGAAAAGTTTTGTTCAAAAATTCTAATAGACGGAATATCAAATTTTTAATTTGATATTTCTCATGCAACATTTATTTTCAAATTATGGCAATCGTATAGAGTTCAATCATTCTAGATTGCTCGGCCGCAATCTGAAATTTATTAAACAATATTGCTATAATATATTTTTGGAATACTCAAATCTAGTGCAGCTTCTTCCATGATATGATTTTTGAGTCAGAGAGGGCGTTAGTGCACGATCAATAGCCGTTCGCGGCGTTTTACCCTTTCACATGGTAACATACCTACGTATCATGGTATATTTCTACCATGCTACGTATGTGTATACATACATGCTCTTCAGCAGTAGTTCAGCTTTCAGCTCTGCTTGTTTCAGCTTCTGAATATTACATCATTTATACATTTTATTTATCATGGGTTTATGTAATATTGAATGTATAGAAAAAATAGCGCGATATCTCGATGTTTCCCCAAGAAAGCTGGAATCGTTTGATAAAAATGTGAGTGTAAAACTATTAATTTGACATTTTATCAAAATGTCTGAAGATGACATCTACTTACTCCTGCATGTGCATTTGTAAAATATAATTAAATTTAATTAAATTACTGTAAATGTTCAACGATAAGAATATGAAATCAACAATATAACGATGGATTGTGAAGGAGAGTTATTAAAAATTGACAATACCATATATATATATATACATGTATGTATGTACATATACATATATCGAATCGCATATGACTATTTCAGGTAGTGTTTATTCCGGAATATGAAAAGAATTTGCCATCTATTCAAGGCTTTAGCACTATTGTGCAAGCGCTTGTAAAAAGTTCAAAATGTTCCGATATACTTGGCTGTAATGAAAAAGAAGCACAGGCATTAATACAGCAGTGGCTAGAATACATTGTAATCTGTGTCAATTATGCGGATGTTCCTGTCAATGCTAAAAGAATATTAAATGTAAGTGCATATATAAAATCCATGTGTTTCTCACAGAAAATATGGCTAATATCGATTTTTTTTATTGTAGGAACTGAATACAGTATTAAAAGTCGTACCATATATAACTGGTACAAAGAAGACTATCGCAGACATTGCGTTATATTACGTTTTACATTCCATAATGGTAACAGCACATCAGTTGTATAATAATTAAAGCGATAATTTGACATATCGCATCTATATAAATTTTCATATTTTACTCTTTTTTTTTTTCACAGAAAGAATTAAATCTTCAGCAAAAGGCACAATATGTTCACGTATCGAGGTGGTTCAACAATATCCAACAAGAGGAGAAATTGAGACGGGAATTGGAATTAATATCTTTTAACTTATTACACATATTTCTGTAATTGAAATAAAATGTTTTAAAGTTATTTATGTACGATATAGAGTGCAGATTAAATGGATTTGATAATTGTACCATGTTCTGTGCATTGCATCAATAATTATTAATTTACGAATTTATGATAATTTATATATATTTAACATTTTTCGAGGTGAAAATCTGTGGGTTACCGACGAAATTATACAATAAAATATACTGTCGGTATCGGTACCATCCGAGAGGATTACCGACATACATTCAACGATATTGAATAGATGGCACTAGTGTGCAGTTTTCTCTCCCCACAAGTCACCAATGTCACCATCATAGATATATCTCATTTGTATCTCGATAATATATCGAGTATCTCTACGTGCCTGTAACATTTCTAACCATTTCTAACGATTGCCTCATGCAGCATAGTAGCATACGACATGGCCTTTCTCAATGAATTTAACTCGTACAAGTGTTTCGTGTAGAAATAGCGATGGTACTGACAGACCGAATCGAGAGGGACGAGAGATAGCTCGAGCTCCCACGCTATTGTCGCGATTGTTTAGTGACTGGCTTAGTGACGGCTGTCGCGTACAGTGAATTGCTTTGGATCGTTTCGTCACGAGAGATGCACAGTTTCTTGTGCGTCGCTCCACATCGCTCACGAAAGATGGCAAGTTTTCACAATTATTGTGCCTGATAACGCGTTGTGCACGAGCACAACGATCTTGACATTGTCGCACAGCGACAAGATTCGTAATTACCTGTAGCCGTTTTCTTCGGTCCTGTTTTTGGCCTAATTTTAGCCTAATACAGCGAAAGCTATCTTGTTGATTCTCGTATAACAGTCCAGCATAGTCGACTGATAGCCGTGTGTAACGAGATGGCGGACGATTCGAGCGTACGCGTTGCCGTGCGGTAAGTAAAATATAACACGTTTATAAAAATTGCTTTTAATTGCTCTCAGGCTCTTATACGTGACTCGATTCGATAGATTCGTTGACATGACAGAGTGACATGCCGGTGACACGCCGGCGACACGCCGGTGTCGAGATCGAGAGGATTGATAAAAGATGCTCTTAAAGCGCCGATGAACGAGACTGAAGGCGACCTCGCGCGCGTATTCGAACGTGTGCATATTTCTATCTACTAAAATCACGATATAATTTGAAGCATAAAAAATTTGCCGTTGCTGTTGTATATAATTATTCAGCTGCTCTTTATATATATTTCTCGCGTAAGGCTCGCGTGTCTCGGCTCCCGGTCATTGAAACAGGTTGATGCGAGGAAAGATACCGCGCCACCACCGCGCCGCCAGAGGAGTAAAATATCTTTGGCGTTTACATTATCGCTATCGTGATAATATAATGTGATTGCTCAATGTCGAATTTGAGTTTTCTCGTTTGTTACAAATAAAATAATACGGGAGCGCGCGAGATTGAATGATTGGGATTGAAATGGAAATGAGATCTTTTTCGCGTACGTTACGTCGCGTAAGGAGAAACTGGAGTCGCGATCAGCGTATTCCACGTAACGTCTGACCGATCGTGAATACCGATCCTCGAGTATCTCCTTTTATGACAACCGCGTGGGTTTTAATTACCGCGGCGTTCGCCGCTGAGAAACGCGCGACTTCGCCTTCTACTTCCGAGTTCGAGATCACGTGCTCGTGACAAAAGTTGACCTTCGTCGCTTCATCGGCGATATTTAGACTTAATATATGTCGTTAATTCAAAGCGTTTGTTGTTCTTTTTTTACCAATCGTTAAATAATAAATAAAGAGATTTAAAAAAGCCGATGATTAATTTAATAAATTGCAGCAAAGATTTTAGCACGAGCATTGGTTGTCTGTTGCAGAATAAGGCCTCAAATAGCTCGCGAAGTAATCGATATGTGCAGGATTTGTACTCAGGTGCCTCAAGGGGAGCCGCAAGTTTTTCTCGGACCCGACAAGGCCTTTACATACGATTACGTATTCGATACTCAGGTGGATCAAAGCGCGATTTACGAAACATGCGTGAACCGTCTCGTGGAAGGCGCGTTGGACGGCTACAACGCAACGGTTTTCGCCTACGGGCAAACCGGCTCGGGCAAAACCTATACCATGGGCACCGGTTTCGACGTAGAGGTCGATGAAACTATCGTCGGAATCATACCCAGAGCTATTAGACATCTTTTCGATGGAATAGCGGATAAACAGGAACGCGCGAGAGAACGCGCGCAAATGCCTCCGGAATTTAAGGTCCGTACTCGTTTGTACTTGTTTCGCTTAGCAAAACTTGCGCGTCATTTTTTCATTCGTCTCCTCTGCGAATGACGATGCGTTATCTCTTTTTTGACCGTAGGTTACAGCACAATTCTTAGAATTATATAACGAAGATCTGAAGGATTTATTAGAGCCAGGAGGACCGAGAGGTGGTGCGCGTATTCACGAGGATACAATGGGGAATATACATTTAGCTGGCGTAGAACCACGCGTCGTAATCAACCCCGAACAAGCACTGGAGTATCTTCGATTGGGTGCGTTATCGCGCACAACAGGATCCACGCAAATGAATACGCAATCCTCCAGATCGCACGCGATATTTACATTGTATATCAAGCAGCAAAGATGCATCAAAGTCGAGGATCCCGATGCGGATGTCGACACGAGTGGTATTGAGTTAGCGAACGAATTCGAAACGTTAACCGCCAAATTTCACTTTGTTGATTTGGCCGGTTCCGAGAGATTAAAAAGAACGGGCGCTACCGGCGACAGAGCGAAGGAGGGCATTTCTATAAATTGTGGATTGGTAAGAGTAGAGACCACGCTTTCTACTACTAGAGAGGAAATGAGAGAGAGTATTCGTCTAATAAACGTACGTTACATCTTTTTTCATAGTTGGCCTTGGGTAATGTCATTTCCGCTCTCGGCGATAAAACAAAGAAAGCCTCGCACATACCGTACCGAGACTCAAAGTTAACCAGATTACTTCAAGATTCTCTCGGAGGTAATAACGTATTTACATAGTATATATGTATAATTACGATTTAAACATATAATATAGTTAATGTGCTTTTTTAAGTGCAAGGTGCGTTAAGCTTACTTCTCAACATTATCATTATAATATATTTTAGGAAACAGCCAAACTGTCATGATAGCGTGCGTATCGCCAAGCGATAGAGATTTTATGGAAACTTTAAGTACGTTAAAATATGCAAATCGAGCAAGAAATATAAAGAATAAAGTCACTATTAACCAGGACAAGAGTTCGAGGACGATCGCTTCGCTACGACGAGAAATTCAACAGCTTCAATTGGAATTGATGGAATATAGGCAAGGTATGTTGTTGAAACTTATCGTAATATACTTAATGTCGTATATACTCTATCTCTTTCTCTTATCCGCCTCAGGCAAGAGAATCGTCGGTGAAGACGGAGTTAACGACGCCTGGCATGAAAATCAAATGTTGAGTAGCGAATTACAAAGTCTTCGCACCAGAGTGAAAGCACTTTCGGAAACGGTTGAGGCATTAACTGCCAAGAATGCTCTATTGTTGGCGGAAAAAGCAGCGGGTCACTGGGTAGCGGCATCGAGCAAAGGGGATGATCAAGTGACTAGCTTGATACAGGCTTACGTTCAAGAGATAGAAGAGTTAAGAGCTCGTCTATTGGAAGCGGAAGCTATGTATCAGCAATTAAAGAAAAGACAAATGCAGGTTAATGCCGTTAATTGCTACGTTAAAAGATGCAATAGATTCACCCCTCCGATTGACATTGATGAAATATAATTATTCATTCATCATAGGTTAACGCGGCGAATCCTTACGGGGATAGTAGTTCGTTTCATTCCGATTCCGCAACCGTGTTGATCGACGCTAAGAGAGATGTCGAAAAAGAAATAGAAGCGTTGAGAGCCTTGAAGGAGCAATACAGTCACGGTGGTAACATTACCAAGTCGGTGGACGAGGGAGAAATGGATGATACGGAGAATGCACAGGATTCTGTGAGCGAAGATGAATCCGACGACGATTCTGATCGTAAAGGTGCAACATTTAAATGCATATATCATCGTATTATTTGTTTACGCGCACGCGCACGTGCGCGTGTCTTCTATAATAGTAAACATCTTTTATAGTTGCAACAATGTAATGCTCGGGAACATCTAGTGTGATTGTAAGGTCATATTTTTATTACATTATGTCATTTTTCACAGAAGAGGATGAGGAAGAGGCAGCTATGGGTCGTGAATTGGAAGCGTTAACGTCCGACATTGACGTTAAACAGCGCCTGATACAAGAGCTCGAGCTCTCTCAAAGACGTTTGCAAACTATGAAGCAGCATTACGAGGATAAATTGTCTCAATTGCAAGCTCGTATCAGAGATACTCAAGAAGAAAGGGATAAAGTGTTGCTATCTTTGCAGCAACAACCTACACCGCCTACTGAGAAAGTGAAAAAATTACGCGACGAGTACGAGAAGAAGCTCGCTAATATGCAGAAAGAGATGCGACTTTTACAATCTGCTAAAAAAGAACACGCAAGATTGTTGAAGAACCAGTCTCAGAATGAAAACAGATTGAGAGGCTTGAGGAATGAACTTTCGGAAATGAAGAGAGCGAAAGTGAAACTTTTAAATAAAATGCGGGAGGAAGCTCAACGACATAAAGAAAATGAACTGAGGCGCAATAGAGAAATAGCACAGTTACGTAAGGAAAGTCGTAGGCATGCAAACGTCATCAGAACGCTAGAAGCTGACAAGAGAATGAAAGAAGTTGTTCTTCGACGTAAACAAGAGGAAGTAACGGCATTACGAAAGAGGGATAAAGGATTGAGTCAAAAAGCTGCCGGTCGCGCACCAGTCAAGTCACTTAATCCTAAAGCATTGAAACAAAGATGGCAGACATTTGAGAGAACAATCGCTAAACAAGCATTAGCAAAACAAGCTGCCGCAGAAACGGAGAGAGAAATGGAAAGACTACTTCAAGAAAGAGAAGAATTAGGGAGAGATTTGGAGAAGCTTCAGAAGCACAGAAGTCAAATAACAAGCGCAAGAGGTGACACCGCCGACGTTGATGAAGAAATCGATAATGTGGAAAGTAAAATCAGTTACCTACAGGTAAAAAATATTTACAATTGTACCATACTATGCAATTTTTAACGGTCGTCCTTTTTCCGCTGTACTATAACGTGCAAAATTTTACAGGATAGTATCGCGGAATGTCAACGCGACATGGTTGAAATGGGTGATGGTGAAGCGGAGAGTGAACCCGGTGTCGAAACGCTTATCTCTACAATTCGAACAGTAGACGAAGCACAGTACTTACTTCAACGAATGCTCGCATTCACCGTTGAGCAAAGCTGCATAGCCGCACAAAAACAACTCGAGGTACGAGATATGGAATCACGGCTCAATCAAGTTGCGCAAGAAAGTGATGTGCAACATCAATTACTGGAGCATGTTTTACGCGACAGAGATCTTTTATCCCTGACAAACAGTCAGAATAATGTATTAGCTTATAGTCCAGCCAGTTCAAGGAGCTCCTCTCCCGACAAGTAAGTGTCAAGCAGCGATATCATTCTTTTGAAATAATTACTTTCTAAGCATTTTAAGCATTGTCTTTTTTTTAATTGCGATGGTATCTTTTAAGGGTCGTCTGCAATGGTCGTAAGAAATTTATCAATGTCTTATAATCGATTATATTCTCCTCCTATTTGACTTTGTGATTGGTCAATTTCTTACGGCTTACTACGCCCCCATTTCGTCTCTTACTCCCTCTCGATTACGTAGACAGCCCTTTAAACACATGTAATTCAAAACATGATTGATTTGCAATAACATTTTTATTACGGTCAAATTAGATGTATTATCTTTTTCTTTCTTTTTGTACAGTCTTATACCGTGACATTTATTTTCTACATTAATATTACGTACTCTCATCTCATTTTTATTTATGATTGATGCCTGACAGTGAAAGTTACGGCCAAATTATGCTCGGTGAAGAAAGACAGCGCAATAGTAAAGTTAGAAGAAGAACAACGCAACCACAGGAACTTCTCTATGGTATACACGCTAATCCGGAAAATTTGAAAGCAGACGATCAGAATCAAAATCATAATCATCCCCTTACCAGAGTCCCCAGTGCACCAGGTAGTCTAAAGTAAGTATACGCTCTTTAATATGGACTAGTACATAACAGACGCGCGCTTTGCGCGCGCTGCGTATTAAATCCCATACATCTTCCAATAACATTTATACAAAAAATTACATTTTAATTAAACAAATTTTAACAATTTTTGAAAAAAATAAATTTTCAAAAAAATGATATTTTAATCGGGCATTTTGAATCGGCCATTTTTTAAATAAAATCACGATTTTTTAAAAAATAGCCACATAATTCATCTTTAAGATGAGCCCAGAAAGAAGTCTATATCTTTATTTTTCTGGAAGATATGAATTTTTAAACATTGGGGAAAAGAGGCTTCAATGCAGATAACATGGCAATTTTAAGATAGGACTCCAATATTTCTAGTTTGTAAAAATGATACACTATACTCGGAGGAAAATTTTGTATCAGTATTGTAATAATAATTTTGTATGCACTGTTTTGTAATATACGTTTGTATGTTTATTTTAATTTCTTCCTACATCAGAGGACTAGTGTTAACCAGAAATCAGTACGGTGGTACTGGCGGATCGCCAACTTTGAGTCGTCGCGACAGTACATCGCCCAGAGCTTTGCGACGACCGATTCATCCAGGTGGAGGCTCCATGTGAGTGATTATCCTGCAGCACATTCTTGTTCTTGTATTCCTTATATATATTTTTCTTGACATCCTACTCCATGCACTATTCAAGACTTTTATTTTCCCGAGATGAACTGTATTTTATTGATTTTATTCAAAACAGGAATCAAGTGCAAGTATTTCGTGCCTAAGAATATAATAATTAATCAGATTAGAACGCGGTGTATCAAAATAAGTATAATCATAAAGTTATGTTAAATATTTTCATGAAACAGGCAATCTTTCAATGTAGAAATTGTAACGTATGCATATAATTGCGTTATGTTACAACTGTTACAAATATCTTTGCTATATTACTTTCCAAAAATGTGTACAAAATGTCTTTGAGAGCTTATCAGATAAGATATTCAACATTTCCAAGGGTTAACATATTGTAAAATAGAATATAAATTTATATGTGGAAATAGCATACACATTACACACACACACACACACACACACGCACACGCACACGCATACACGTACGTATGATGTAAAGTATACGTTTGAACAACCTTTGCAAATAGTATATATTTTTAATAATAAATTTGAATTTATATATTTACAAATAAGTAAGATATGTATCCGTATAGATCGATATTTTACGATAACATATATTTATATACATATATAACTGCAATGAATTTGACACGATATATGTAATTTACATTAACGTATTATTAATGACTGCAATAAGAAAAGACATTAATTTATATGGGATATGTATCTTTAATATGTGTAGACGTAAGAAGAATATTTTTTGTAATGTAGGATAAAGAATAAATGACAAAATTTTAAATAAGACGCGAAAATACGATAACTGTCGAAAGATCCTTTTGGCGGTTCCTTACTTACGCATTTCTAAGTACGAAATTTGCATTTGATAATGGCTGAAATTAATAATTGTGCTTAATTGTGCATTACTCCTCTACGCGTAAAACTGGATTAATGTTTCGTTATTTTTTTTCTTACACGCACGTATGTTTGATATAATTTTCAAGTCGGCACGATTATTAGCCAAATGCCGGCTAACTAACACGCTAACATAACACACCTATTAGGGAGCAGGTAGCGCATATGGATATATCTTCACCTCCTGGGTCACCGACTACGTACAGACGATTCAATAGTCGCGAAGAAAACGTATTCTCCAGACTGACTGCGAGCAGACAGCTGATCGCGTCTGAACCACAACCAATGAAAGGGATTATCTCGCAGTATCAGGGCAAGGTAAGCAACACAAACAACAGGCTTTCTGCCTTTCTTACGGAGCCAAATAGATATGATTAGATATGATTATTCTTCCATCAGGCGCAACCACGGGCCATTTTGCAATGTTCTCATGTTGCGGAAGGGCATAGCAAAGCTGTTCTTACTATATGCGTGACGCCCGATTTACTTTTTAGCGGCTCGAAAGGTATATGAATGCAGGTTAAATGATATCGAAAATTATTTAATCGAGTATAACAATCGCGATAATAAACGAGTTCTTTTTTTCGTGAATTTTTAGATCGCACCGTCAAAGTATGGGATTTAGAAACGGGAATTGAAAGTTTGACTTTAAGTGGACATCCTAATAACGTCGTTGCCGTAAAGTATTCCACTGTTCATCAGCTTCTATTTAGCGTATCCGCAGCATACGTTAAAGTTTGGGATTTAAGAACTGGCAATAACTGCATAAAAACATTGTTTTCATCTGGTCAAACTCAAGCCGGTCCTGTCGCGTTATCGACTCCATCTAGGATGCTTCAAGTTCCCATGGGCGAAACAACAATTAACGATTTAGCGCTCAGCTTGGACGAGCAGGAGCTGTACACTGCAGCCAGCGATAAAGTTAGAATATGGGATCTTCGTAAATTGGCATATACCGCTAGATTGAGCACGCCGCACACAGCGGCCGTTATGTGTTTGGCCGTTGCTGAGGATGGTAGAGTAATAGCGGGTAGTAAGGATCATCTGATATCTCTCGCCGAGCCTAATATATCCGGACCGTCCGTTAGTTTAGCTCCACCGCATTACGACGGAGTTCAATGCTTAGCAACAATCGGCTCTACATTATTTTCCGGTTCGTCATATCGTTTTTTTTTGTGTCTGTATCTGTACTATCGCGTAATAACTAATAAATGTGAGAGACTCATTTAATTATTAATTAATTTGCAGGCTCTAGAGATATGTGCATTAAACGATGGGACCTAAGCAAAATGGAATTAGTTCAATCCCTAAACAATGCCCACAAAGATTGGATTTTGGGATTATGTACAATAAATAATGGTTCCATAATGATTTCCGGATGTCGCGGTGGTATATTAAAGGCATGGTCAGTTCCTAAGGATTATTTAGGAGAATGTACGCCTATTGGAGAAGTGCGAGCGCACGCTTCTGCTATAAATGCTATCGCGACCAATCAGCAGCATATATTTACAGCGAGCAAGTAAGTAAGAGAATTTCTAAAGTTTGATACTCTCATAACCAGCTCTCAGTGTCGACAACAATATTCGATAATGTTCGACAGCTGTTCGAGTCGACTATTAGCGTGCGCGCATGCACACATCAGATATGCATATTTTGGTTCAACGGTGCGCTTAATATTCTGAATAAAATAACGTCTCGGATGTTGATTTCAGCTCTGGGGAGGTGAAGCTGTGGCGTATACCAGATTCTTCATTATCTATGTCTATCTCCACAGTTTCCCTTTAACTTTATTTGCTTTTTGCTTCTGCGTCACTGTGTGTGCGTTTGCATTTATCTTATATTTCTGTGATGTAATGCGCATGCTCATTCAACTATGGTTGAACATTTGAAATTTTTTACACATAATGCGACATTTTACATGCAAGGCTGCATTGGTTGCTACGCCTGAGTAACGTTCATCGAATGTCATCATACATTTTGTGCAACACTATTATACAATACTAATGCTTAAAGTCAAATGAAGATGTGCAATTACATTTTGTGTCTAACTTAGTGTCTTTATTTACATTTGCATTATTTCTGCAATTCATCAGTCAGTATAATTTAATTTGCCCACTACAAAATTTCCAGCCATTTTTAAAATTGAACGTGTTTAAGAGGATCAAATTTTAATGCACGAGACCATTTCAATTGCAAGCATCTATTTACTATTTAGACAATATATGAAATATGTATAATCATTATCATTCTCTTGCTAGTCAATAAATCAAAAAGACAAATGACTCAATAATCGGTTTTATAATTGTAATAAATCTATTAGTCTAGTGCGTATGGATGTTTAATTCGTTATTATTTGCTTCTATGTTGTTTACTCCACTTTGGTGCTTTGCATGGTCATCGTGTCGATCCAAAGTGATGGAACTGTGAAATTGTGGAACTACTGTAAACGAGACGCAAGGACCTTCCACAGGAGCAACTCACTCAAAAGCTAACATATATATATATATATGTATATATGTCGCGCATACTACGTATTCTATTTATTTTGCAATTATATAGTTTTAATTCAAATGATAATGCACTTGATCCATCATTATTTTATATCTTTTTTTATATATTGCTATTGCATTCATTTTTTAATATTGAGAATATTCTTTCGAAATGTTTTTATATATTTTGACTTTATCGTAATTTTAATAAACATTAGATATGATAATTATTTTTAAAAAAGCTGCAGGACAATATGCTGTTTAGATAAAATGATGACGAATTGTACATCTCAAGTCCAAGTCTGTCTTATATAGGATAGGAATAATGTGCATTATCATAAGATGCCTAAACGCAGGGCTTGGATAAAGTATTATCTGATAGGGAAAAAAGCTATATGTTATCTGATATTTATTTTGTTATGAACATAAAGATATGATCGTAATTACAATAATTATAATATTTATTCTTAGTACAAACAATAGTTGTTGGTTAATACTGTACAGTCTGAGGTCTCTGTAGATTCCAAATATTGGATATTGTCAGGGTTGATTATTAGTCAATTTTCTTCTGAAAATTTTCAAGTATTATACCTTAATTATATTTATAGTTGTCACGAAAAATAAATCGATTGTATAAAAAAGAAAAAGGAGAGAAAAGGAATAGAGTATATGGTACAGTAATTGCAGCATTTCATTATATACCTCTTTTTCTTTTTGTGCGCGGTAAGCGATTCTTGACCGCTATCATCCTCACTATCTTCAGATTGACTACTACTGGTGCTACTCGAAGAACTACTCGAGGAACCGCTCGAGGAATCACTGGCAACACCGGTATCTTCTTTTACATCAATAGTTTCTGCTAAGGATGCCAGTTCGGGTTCTTTATCGTTGAGCACTTTTAACCATTTTCGCGATAATTTCGGTCTTCCTCGTACCTATCATAAATTTATTATTACAATTTGCACATTATTTGTTTATTACACATGTGCATACATCAAAGTAACTCTTGCAAATAATCTTACGTTGCTAATATTTCATAATTGTAACGTTATATTATTTTATATATTTTGCATCGAATTCTCACCGTTTTATGCCAAACTACTGGAAAGTTGGTACGCGAACAGAAATTCTGGGTGACCGCTATAGTTTCGTCAAGATTTAATACGATGTGCCACCACCCGCCGGGAATGAACACAGTCTCGCCGGGAGTCTGCAGAATCTCTATTGGGCGACAATCTTTTGGCCAAGTAGGTAGCTTTGTGCGTGGATAGATAATGGAAAACCATGTAATAGCTTCGTCCCTCTGTTTACCACCTTCGGTTGCAGTTACTTTCAGAAGTTCGCGAGGGGTATGCGTAGGAAACAGACACCAACGTTTATGGCCAGAAATTAATGCGTTCCATGCACTGGTACCCAATGGATCTATATGTATTCCTGTACCTATTGCAATTTTTTTTCAGTAGAATGTATCTTTTTATTATTAACTGCTAGCATACACATAAACGAGAGACAAATGTCGTTGACATATGAGACATGTAACGCGCAGAATCCTTAGATGACACAGTTTTAAAAAAGGCACAAGTACGTTAGCGCTTGTAATTTTTTAATATTTAAAATATTAAAAACAAACTTTCTTATGAAAAATTTTGGTTCATTTCCGTTGTATGAAGGAAATTTTAGTACAAGCACACACAATAACTTTTTTTTCAATTACATAAAAAATTCAAAGGATGCAGTGTATCAATCTATTTACCAGATCTTGCAGGCCCCATAACAAACCAACGATATGGCGGTCTTCGATGTTCTCCGGCATGATGAAAGAGATCATCCCGAAAATATTTAGGAATTACATAATCTTCTAACAATTTCTTTCGTCTCGGATGTTCACCAAACGAGCTATCAAAAATGTATAAAGGAGAATCATCCTCATTATTGAACATGTATCGAACGTAATACTTCATCTTCATTTTTACACTATATCCTTCATTGTCTTCTCCACATTTGAACTTTTGATTCCGATATTTCTTTGCTAACCTCTGGAATCAAATAAGAAAATCTGTAATTATTACAACTTATTTTTACAACTTTTGAGAGCTAAAGACATGGTTTGTCTTTCAATCAAGTATGTACATTAATAAAATTTAGAGTTTGCTTACAACAGAGTTACAATTATTTAACACTTGAAAAAGTACATCTTTTTAAATAATCAGTTGTGTGTTATTTACGTGTAACTACTACATGCAAAGAAGGAAGAAAGGAACTGATAAATATCATATACATTACATGATTCACATGTTACAAGGTATTCTTGCAAACATTAATGCATTGGATATGATTAATCCGTCTAACTGTGTATATTATTATTAAATTATGATTAACCTCTATAGTCCATTTGTGTTGGGCTCTCCAGCTATTTTGAACACCTCGTATTATCACAGGTTTGTAAGGTTTTTCATATTTTTCTACGAATTCTTCCGTAGTCAAGTTGGATTCCTCAATTCGTTCGGCATTGTCTTGAAATTCCCAAAACTTTTGAAAATGTTTACAGTAGCCATGCTGGATCCATGCTGCTTTATCCGCAAGCTCTAAAAATATGGAAGGTTACGAAGAGCGAGTTGAGTGACATTAATTCATATTATACGAGCACATTTTCGGCACAGTTTGCGATTATCATTTAAATTATTTCTTGTGTAAAATTGTACAGGATTACAAGTGACAGGAATACAATAATAAACATTTCGCCATTGTAGTCATAGTCGATCGTAGTCGAGACGAGACACATATGATTGAATTGATGTAACGGATGCCTAAAGATGAATTAAGATTATCGAGAAATTGAATTACATCATCGTCATGTTCAAGGTCTCGGGAAACTTGACTGATACTCGACCGAATTCTTTCCTGCCTCTCTTCGACATAATCGTAATCGTACAAAGCCGACGAAGAGGAGAGATTCTTTTCATCATTTCATTATATGTCAAGCTCGGGCGTTTAACTCTTGATAGGTATGTATAACGGACACATGAAAACGAAGAAAGCCGATATCGGTGTACGTCGATTTACCACTTTGTAACATAGGTTATAAATCGCAAGTCCCATTTTCTTTACCTGGTCGAGCCTTCTTTTTCACCTCTTTGATCCTTTTTCTCGCACGATGATCCAATCTCCATTCCTCCGTCATGACCACCTTTGTATTGTCTGTTTAATCTAATTGCAGAAAGAATATATTACAGATTACAATAGATTAAAAAATTTAAAAATGTTGCAAAACGTTGGACGTCTCACGACGTTGCAAAAGTCAACGTCGTTTTATAGTAATAATCGGCGGTAACGGAGCTCAGTGCTGCCAAATGAAAGGAAAAAATGTTACGCTTCCGCGCATTCAAATTTGCGCAGTCATATGTCGTTGGACAAATTTCTTAAGAGCATTGATTGGCTGGCAGGATAAACAAGTCCTCGCGAAAGTCTCTATTGGCTTCTGCTTTTCCGCGCGCGTCAAGGTGTGAACTCGCCCTAACAACGGAAGGAGAGGAAAAGAACGCGTTCGGACCGGAAGTGCCGGACTGCGCCTGCGCTGCGCCACAGCGGCCACAGCGCCAGTAGCGCCACGGCAAATCACGGCAGGTGGAACAAGATGGAACCACTGGAACGACGATGGAAGAGAGTGAAGAGACATGACGCCATGTTCGCCATGTTTTGATGTCGTCATCGTCCCCCCCGCCCACCCCCGAACGCTGTTCGCCGTGCAGCAGGAGAGCCCGTGTTTTTTTTAGCGTGTGCTTTTCTCCGTAGAGTCACGCCGCACGTTCCCGGCGATTTCCGGCGGTATCCGGCGGTTTCCGGTGGTTACCAGTGGTTCCCGGTGATGAGCACGACGGCCTGTCGCGCATTCATCAGTACGCCGTAGCCGATCCCGTGTAGCCCGTCAGTCTGCATGCACGCCGCGCGGGGCTGGATAACCCTCGCCCTCGTCCTCGTACAAAGTCCACCACCGTGGGCTCGCGTGACCTCTTGGACCTTTTCCATGTCCGTAGAAGCAGCCGCCGCAGCACGGGGGGGATCCGCGAGCGTTGTCTACGCGGTCACGGTCGTGTCCTAGTGCGAGAGAGCATCGATCGCGGAGCAGCCGTTCACCACTGTCACACACAGCCACCGACCGCCGCCGCCACTTGCGTTAGCACTGCCTCGTTGTCGCTCATTGCTCCACAGCTCATCGTCGACCGACGGCGCGTTCCCTGCTTCGGTGTTGCGCGCGTGACGTGGGCAAGCACCACGTCACCCTTCGGAAGAAGGCGGATCCGAGCGGATCCCTCGAGTCCGTGCGGGACGGATAGAGCGCCTTACGTGCGTGCGTGCGTGCGTACGTGCGTACGTGCCGTGTGCGTGCGTGCGTGCGTGCGTGCGTGCGTGCGCGCGTACGTCTTCTTTTCTCTCTCCTTCGTTTTCGTTTCGAGTACACGAGGAGGAAGAGGATTTTCACTCACTGGTTAAAATGGAGCTGCGTTTGCATTCGCCAGCAGGAGCGGAACCGATCGTCTATCAGTGGCCTCTTACTTCGGGATCGGGCTCTGTGAGTTAATTTAATAGTCTTGCCTATCTATTAATACCTATCCTTGTGCATACAATCATTTCTTTTCTTTTCTCTCTCTTTTTTTTTGTTTTTTTTTGTTTGTTTGTTTGTATCGTCACTAATGTGATCCACACTGAGCAATCACTCATCTACATATGTATCTGTATGTATATCTGTAGGATCGTCATGATGGAGCACTGGACGTTATCGAAACTATGCGATGGGTTTGCGAAGATTTGCCAGATCTGAAATTACCCTTAGAAAACAATATCCTTTGTGACTACGATCCAAGAGACTACGAAAGTATGAAAAGCTTGTGCGATAGATTTAACAGAGCCATCGATAGTTTAGTACAACTGGTACGTTTCGCTTGGTTGTAATATGTCCAACGTAGCTCTAGCTACAACTATTTTATTCAGACTAATTTTTAATTTACAAGTAATCTAGGATTTATTTTCACGTTTGTAGCTTGTTGTTTGTTCTTTTCTTTCTTACATTTCAAACAACCTTTGATTTATTTCCTAAGCCTTAAAATATTGAGATATATATATATATGCAATTAAGGATCACAATGTGATCATCGTCATCAATGTAACGCCATATATATTGATGGTTTATTGAAAAACGTGTCTATAGGAAAAAGGCACCAGCCTGCCATCCCAGAGACTAAATAAGAGACCTAGTAGAGGTTTACTTCGTCATATACTTCAACAAACTTATAATCAAGCTGTGGTTGAACCAGACAAGTTAAATCAGTATGAGCCTTTTTCACCCGAAGTCTATGGCGAAACGAGTTACGAGCTTGTATGTCAAATGATCGATCAAATCGACGTGACGGAGGACGATGTCTTTGTAGATCTAGGTTCCGGAGTTGGTCAAGTGGTTCTTCAGATGGCAGCTGCTACTTTATGTAAAATTTGTACCGGCGTAGAGAGAGCCGATGTACCATCAAAGTATGCACAGGTATACAAGTACAGTATTACAAGTATAATTATAAATTAATTTTTGGCTATTATATAAAATGGCTGTTGTTACATGTACCTGTGAATTTATTTACATAACTACATAACTTAATTAGCACAACTACTGTTTATTGTGTTTGAAATATTTATCGTGAAATATTTATTGTACAATAAAATAAACCGTAATTGTATTACACAGAGCATGGAAGTAAATTTTCGAAAATGGCTAAATTGGTATGGGAAGCGATGCGGAGAATATCGTTTAATAAAAGGAGATTTCTTAGCCGACGAACATCGCGAAAGTATAACCGGAGCTACGATTGTATTCGTCAATAATTTTGCATTTGGTCCAACGGTTGATCATCAGTTGAAGGAACGTTTCGCCGATTTACGAGATGGCGCGCGTATAGTATCCTCAAAAGCATTTTGTCCGTTAAACTTTCGAATAACTGACAGGAATTTGAGTGGTAATATATATTCGTCTCTCTCTCTCTCTCTCTCTCTCTCTCTCTCTCTCAATGTTTTTGAATATTTTCTTTAGAGATTCTTCTTCCATAATTCTGATTTTGCAATTTTTACCCTGACAGATATTGGTACGATAATTCATGTCTCAGAGATGTCACCGTTAAAAGGTTCCGTCTCTTGGACCGGTAAACCGGTGTCGTATTATTTGCACGTAATCGATCGAACTAAATTAGAACGTTATTTCCACCGCTTGAAAAACAATAAACAAGGTGGCTTAGATGAAAACTCTGATTCTGTGATAAGCAACACTGCCAGCAATAGTAGTAAGATTTCTAGTAGGAATGAAAGAGGTGACAGAGCCAAGAGAGATCTTTCGAGGCAATTAGACAGTCCGAATCATTCGGAGCAGCAAGGAACAAATAGCGACTCCGACCTAGACGACAATGCTATTAAAAGTCGTCGACAGTCAAACAAAATACGGAGGAAATTCAATCGAAAAACTACGAATGGCATTACGAGAGCTCCGGCTAGAGGTAGACAGAGAGGAAGAGGCGTTAAGAGAGCCAAGCCTAAAAAGGCAATCAATATATCTGGATTAGATCTGTTACATAGTCAGACTTTACTCAGTACATCACCTCAAGCTCTTGGAAAAAAGCCTCCGCCTGCTCCTGGTTGCGTAGATCAACAACTATCTTCATTGTCGCTTTCGTTGCAATCGCATTCCACTTCAGTGCACGAAGAACTCAGTATACCACCCGCTCCGTCCGCGACTCCTTACGCTCTACAAATACTTCTGGACATGTTTAGGTAACCATTTATCTTAATTATATATCTCTTTCTTTCTTCCGCATCTCCCCCGCACCTCTCCTTTCCTCTCTATCTTCTTGTTTCTATTTTTCCATGTTGTGTGTGTGCTTTTTTTTTTTTTAATAAATGTTTTATGAACAAAACTAAATTTTTGCCGCAGGGACCAATTTATGCTTATGTTAGAATCAATGAGAACGCCCACTTACAAGGCATCCGTTAATACGGATATTGCAAGAGAAAGAGAAAGGAACTCCAGGCTTCAGTCGAGAGCGGCACAATTGGAGAAACAAATCAAGGTGTTGATAGACGATAGCGTAGCTCTCTTGAGAGCGAGAATGACTGAATTAGGTATCAATGCTACGTCACCCGGAGATCTGTTAGGGAAAGCTAAGGAAATAGTTCTGAGACATAAACAGCTACAGGCTAAAGCGAGCAAATTGCAAGCGCAAGTGGCCTCTATCGAAATTGAACAAAACAGACTAGTGGCGCTCAGACATCAAGAAATGCAGGAAAAATATAATGGTCACGCGAATGCAAATGGCATAATGAATTCACATCAGCCGCTTACCGAGGATTATTTGTTGAAAGAAATTTCGGCCACTCTTTCTCAACGTAAACGATTACATTCTCAAGTGTGTATCTCGTATACTCTCATTTTACCTGATAGCATTTGTTAATTTAATTTGTACAATGACATATATATATATATTACTTAGTAGTTGGTCACTTTTTCCTTGTTTCTTTCTTTTATGTTGGATGTACGCGTGTATGTATATCATATATATATATATATATATACGTATACGAGTGCAAGAGAGATTTGTTTCCTTTGGAATTTCATTAAACTTCTTTTGTGCAATAGGTTTCAAAGCTAGAGCACGAATTAAACGTATTGGAGAGAACAAGTAACGAAAAGCAAGCCGCTGCTATTGCACAGCAACAAAAGGACGCGACTGGAAGCAAACATTCGCAAAATTTACATCATGGTGGTCAACAGCAAAGTAGTAAAAATGGAACAACCCGTAAAAGTAGGGAAGGCCGTTCGAGGTCGCAGGAATGGCCCGAGGTTCCAGATATCGGAAGAATACACGAGAATAATCCAGAAATATTAGCGCAAAAGATTTTAGAAACGGGAAGACAAATAGAAGCGGGTCGTATATCAAATCCCAGACAGAGTGGCAACAGTAATTCCAAAACCAGACTGCCCCAGGCGTCTCTCAGTTTTTCCACATCATCCTCTATTTCATCCACTCAATCGCAATCGCAAACAACCAATAAAGACGTACCGAATACGCATAGAACTCAAGAGCCACCCAGAGTCGCCAATTTTGAGGATAGACTAAAAAGTATCATCACAAGTGTGTTAAACGAAGATCAACAAAACAGAAATAAGCAACAACAAATGCAATTGCAGGCGCAATTGCAAAGTCAGTCCGATTCTGAGAGAAAGCGTGTTTTGTTACCACAAAATGTTTCTACTCCCGATTATACTCAAGTGAGTGTCGAGTGATCTTTATGTAATCTTGTGTATAAACGTACGTAATGATGTATAATAAACAGATGTATTTTTGTTTTGTTTTGCAGGTTTCACCCGCAAAGCTAGCGTTGCGCCGTCATCTCTCGCAAGAACGTCTTTCATCGTCTCATTTGACATCGTCTGACAGATCGTCGGCAGTCGACCCTAGACAATCGTCAAGCTATGACAATCGGCTCGTAGCGGGTGGAAGTGGATTACTCGGCACTAGGACGATTGGCGATCTCGTCAGTGGAGAAATAGAAAGAACTCTCGAGATATCCAATCAGTCTATAATAAATGCCACTGTTGATATGAGCGCGATGATGAGACCCGAAACTGTATACTCCCCCATTAGTAGACCAGCAAGTGCCGAAGGAGACGCTGGTTTGTCAACGTTGGCGCACGTAGCTAGTTACGCGCCTACTTCTTCAGGAGCTTCTACCTCCACACCTACGACTAGTTCGAGATCGTCTATGCTCTTCACTTCGGTAACGCAACCACAAAGGTAGGTCTACTCTCTCTCCTCGATGATTTCATTATTTCCATTATTTTACTTTACCGCGACGCCGACCTGCTCGCGGGCCGGCCGAAATGCTTCAGATGTAAATTGAGTTATTTCTCCGGTCTATCTCAGATATACACCGGTTCAATTGCCGCGGGCGGATATTAAGCCTTATCACGAGTCTTACTTTTCGGATAATCCGTCTCAGTCGCTCACATCCCATTCAGCGGCATCACCTCTACATTCGTCTCAAAACACATCGAACGGTGAATTGTTGGGAAGAGAACCTGTAGAAGGGCTCGCGGCAACGTTACACGATCGAATATTGAACGACAGCAACGGCAAAACCGAATCGACTCTTTCCGGCAGTAGAAGGTAGCGACGATCAAATCACGTCACTTGCCTCTCTTTATTGAGATTGAGTAGTCGTGTAATGTGACACGCTTATCATCTTTCTCATCTTTCAGTAGATATCATCCGTATTCGATGCGATACGCAACAAACAGTAGTAGTAATGGAAACGTAACGACGACAAGTAGTACGATAACCGCGGTTTGCCAATCACAACCATTGATGACAGTAAAAACGGAAACGGTTGTATCGTCGGTAAGCACAAGCGGAGCGCCTCTAAGTCCTCTTGTGGAACCACATTCTAATACTTCGACGCCACTAGTCGACGAACCTCAGATGACAACGCAAAGACAACGAAGTGTCGGAGATGATGGTAAGCGGAAAAAAGACTTGTGCTTTTGGAATTTGAAAAAATTGTCCCATTAAAATATTGATGTAAAACATACGCTTGGAATGATCTGTATTTCTATTGAGTATGCTTTTTGATACAGTAGCTACGGAAAATCTATATATAGAGCTCTATTGAATACTGATGTTATTTTCGAACGATGCTTTAATTTCTGTTATACTTCCAAATATGCGTAAAGACAAATATGTATTATATATACAAATAGGTATATATTTATTAATTGTGTTATATTAAATTCTCAAGTTGTTACATTACGAAGTTAGTCTGTAATCTAACCGAATTGAATCTTATTCATCGATTCAATACGAAAAATTTGCCGAAAATATCTTTATATTTTACACACACACGCACACATACACAGTACGCGCGCGCACATGCACAAGAAAGAGAGGTATATTTTTTGCGTTTATTTCATAATCTTATCTTATGCGAACGAAGGAATATATAGGACAACACAAGGACAGTACTATATAAAAGTCAATAAAAATCTTTACGCTACACAACGCTAAATGCTACTTTGCTTAGGTCTTTTCAGATAGGTATTGTACTAGTTTTTGCTCTCTCACATATGCATCTCTCTCCACACACATATTTATATGCACTAATGGTTTAACTTATCTTACGGAGCTGGTACCTGACTTTTATTTATATTTATTTTTGTTGTTGTTTGCTGTATTTGTTAGATGCACTGTAGCTGTTTGTTGGTTAGTTCTGTCTGTCCCATACTCAATCTCACAATCCCTGAAGCTTGTTTTATTAGAGATTGAGACATACAGATGAGAGGGAGAAATGAAAAAATACGGCTGCCTGTGGGTTGGTTCGTCGGTACAATCGCCGGTGAGTTGTCCCACGGGGGTCAAAATTCATTTTGCTACTTTTTATTCTCATTCCGCTAAATATACAAAAGATTTTATTATCTTCCTTGCCTTACTGTAGGCACACGTGCGAGCAGCGCTCGTCTACACTCCTTCTACATGGAATCAAGACACTTTAGAGAAATAAATTTTCATTTATTTAGAAATCAGAGTTTTCATGAAAATAAGCCAGACTTGTGAGAACACAAAGTTTACTTTATCAATGAATATTATATGTACATAGACGCAGCAAATATATTTTAATTGGTGGACTGTACTTTCAATGCATGTTGCATGAAAAATTTCATTTCTATTCATTTTACTCTTTTTGTTCAATTTCCAATGTAGCTGTTTCACATAGTTTAATCAATATTGATATTAATTGCATTTTATATTTGCATCTATTTTAGCATGATGTATTTTGTATTTGCAGTTTGCTTCATGATTTCCTCAATTTGAGGAATTTATTTTGCTTCTTTAAGAGATTAGGAAATGTACAATTTGTTATTTATAGCCACATCATTTAACGTGTTGTGAATAAAACTGATTCTAATTTTCATATGCACTTTTTCTTGAACATTTCGAGCATTAAATGGAAATGAAGCAACTTGTCTAATAGCAATTTAAAATTTGCTTTAATATTATCCAAAATCCTTGCACACAATACATTTAGAAGATTTAGATTAAACAAATTGCTTACCGATATGTAACATATGCAAGTAGACTTTGATTTGGGCAAGTTTTATCTCTTGTAGAATATACATATATATATATATATATATATATATAGAGACACATAATAATTATGTTCTTCCAAGTACTTGAACTTGAAACACACGGTGAAGAGCATGTCCTCTGTATCAAGGTTAATATTGATAATTTTACTAAACGAGGTATACGCGCATAATACACCAGATACCGAGGTAATATTGTTGCCAGTATGGAACTCAAAAGGTGGTGCACCGGAGGTACGTTATCGTAAAGTTTAATTTATTCTTTAAAATATAGTATAATACTAAAAAAAAAAATTATTCTCGATTTAATAGTTATTATTCGATTTGCAGATTCCTTTAACTTTCAAAGTCTTTGGGCACTTGATTCAGTTGAATCTACGTAGAAACGACAATATTACATCATCTCAGTTTCAAGTCTGGAAACACAATGCCAAGGGCATCGCAGAAGAATTGTCGCAGTTAAACGCACCGGATCCTTGCTATTATCTTCACAAGAGTCATGTCGGTTCCGCAGCTATAAGTTTTTGCCAAGAACATGGATTGGTCGGTGGTATTCTTTGGAGGAAAAGAATGACATTTCTTTTTCTCTCTTTTTTTCCTCATGTATGGACATGCGTGTAGAATATAAATAAAATGAAGAATAATATATCTCTGATCTGATCTGTTGGAGGTAGCACGGGCTCATCTTTCTGGAAAACATTACATTGGAAATCACGCCTTTGCGAAACGGCCTTGCATCTTTACCTTTACTCGTCGACGACCGTTATGTCAAGGAAGAAGAAGCCGTTCTGCCGTTGGGTGAGCCTCACGTGGTTAAGCGATCACCGCCGAGACCGCCCATTGATTTAGATGTTGAGACGAAGCGACGTGAAATACGAGATACGAAAGAAAAATTAACATTAGAGCTGGCAGTCTTCTTCGATGAGGCTGCGTATCGTTTGTTCTCGCCTTTTCTGGATGGAGACGATGGGAAGATTCGTGACATGTTGTTAGCGTACGTGAATGGTATCCAAGCGCTGTATCATCATCCGAGTCTCGGTGCCTCAATCGACATATCATTGATACGCTTAGATATTATTCAGAGGCAGCCACTTGATTTACCGCACTTTGGTGGCGAGAGAGGTAGCTTGTTGGATTCGTTTTGCAATTACGCCAACGTTCGCAATCCTCCGGAGGACGCACATTCCCGTCACTGGGACATGGGCCTCTACGTAACTGGACTGGATCTTTACGCGATCGAAAACGGAAGGAGGAACGGCGCTACCATGGGACTAGCTACCGTCGGTGGTCTATGCATCCCGCGTTATTCCTGTGTGATAGCAGAATTGGGAGTTACGGATCAACTTGGAAAGCCTTACCCATCCGCGGGCTTTACATCAGTTTATATCGCCGCCCACGAGATTGGCCACAAGTAAGTTGTATTATTATATATAATAATTTAAGTTATACTTGAGCGCGATACGATAAAACACGAATAATCCGTTCGTTTGACAGCTTAGGAATGCCGCACGATTCGAGCGGCAATGCGTGTCCAAAGGATGGCTATATAATGTCACCCAGTAGAGGCGTTCGAGGTGAGACGGTTTGGTCCGATTGTAGCCGTGAGGTGGCTGAGTACGTTGTCGCAAACGAAGTCTTGTCTCCTGGATCGGCCGGAGCCACGAAACACCTCGGATACACTCGCGCACGATCATTCGCGATATCGCGATTTACCTGGGAGGGAATGGACCGCCAAGTGACAATGCGAGTTACTTCTACGCGACAAGGACGCGGACGTTGTTACATTGTATCAGGCTTGTCAGTCTTTGCAATGCGAAACGCCTCACAGGAGTGGATATTATTTCGCAGGGCCGGCGTTGGATGGTATGTAAATCATATCGCTAACAGGTTTGCTAACGTTTTTTTTTTTAACGGCGAAGCTAATTCGTTTTTTTTTTCTTTCTTCTTTCAAGGAACTCGGTGCGCGCCCGGCAGAGAATGTCGCGGTGGAGAATGTCTATCTATTGCCGAACCGCCGAAGTTATCCGGCGGCCAAAAAGGTAGCTGGAGCGAATGGAAGGAAGGTTCCTGCAGTAGTGGTTGTTTGCAGAGATCTAAAGGCGCTCGAGTTAGACGACGATTCTGCGAGAATCGAAATAATCGTCTTAGATCAACGGCGAGGGATTGCAAAGGGCTGTATTACGATGTACTCTTGTGCAAAGATGAGAAACTTTGTAAGAAGAAACGCAGGACGATTGACGAGTTCGCTACGTTCAAGTGTGGCCTTTTCGGGGAAAGATTACCGAAATTGGACGGTACGGCGAAGGGATTGCAGGCGGCACACGAAGCCGACAGGCCATGGATGGCTTGCGCTATATTCTGTCGACGAAAGGACATTGCCGCTTATTACGCGCCACGCGTGGAATTAAACGATCTTGGCCTCGATCCATACTTTCCAGATGGGACGTGGTGCCACGCCGAAGAGGGCCAAGATTACTTTTGTCGTCAGCATCACTGTCTGCCGGAAAACTTTCGATTCGGCCAAAAATTCGGCGGCGGCTTGCCGAAGGTCTATCGATACGAGGGCGAGGATGAGAACGAGGAATTGGGACCACAAAACGCACATAATCGACTTGGAATCGTCGATCGGTCAAGTGTCATCAAGTATCTGACATCAGGGCCAGACGGTATACCTTTGTTGACTTCTGTATCGCGCGGCATCGCTTCTCCATTTGGTGAAGATGAATGGATCGACAAGGATTATATCGAATTACCGCCATTCCTATCCAAGTCCATGCCTTATCCCATGGGCATTGAAGAAAAATAAAGAACGAATAAACGGAGCAAAAGGATCGACAATTATATATATAATCGAGAGACAAGGTTGTTATATTTAAGACGCAAGGAGAAAAGTAGACCACTACGTAAAGTGAATTCTCCCGATTTGTACGAGAAGATATTTCGAAAGATAGGACGAGAAAGAGGCGTTATGACGTCATCCACTTCACCATCTATTTTAAGAGTGTCCCGATGTTATATTCGTATTTCTATAGGAGCGCGGGACGGAGAATCGAGGGCAATAAAAATGTGTATCGTACAACCTAATATTTCTCATATTATTTAGCGTACAAATAATTAATCAGTTATTAAACTTAGGAGCAATTACATAACAAGATGTGGACTCGACATTAGAAGAAACAATCGAGCCTAATATATATTCGACAGATTGTGTCTTGCAATATCTAATGTAAACAAAAATTTTTTTCTTTATATTATAAGACAGAGTGTACGACAAAAATGATGTACAATATTCGTTGCAATATCTGAAATTTTCGTCTCACCCTTTCTCACTCTTTCCTTTTTCTTTTCTTTGCTTTCGATAACTCTATAAGCGTGTTATATCGCTGAACAGCGTGTCACGTGTCACGAGTACATGAACCTCGTTTAAGTGAAACGGATAAAATTTCTGATATTGCACTTGCGTTATTCTACAGCCTCCGTACATACCACATGTATGTACCCCTAGGACATACACGCACATACACGCCCACGCATTCACATGCACATACGCACATGTGTACAATGGAGAAAACCAAGTAATCCAGACACAACAATGTGAAATTAGCGAATATATACCAGATTCTCTATAATAATTTTATAATTTAATATATTTATATCTGTGTGTGTGTGTGTTTATA